CTTTCTGAAACAGTGCTTTCTACATCCTTTGTTAAAACAGTAATTTTCAGAGAGACGTCCATTCTTATACATCAACAAGTAAATACCACAACATGACCCGATCTAGTCTGACCGAGAGGTTTGGTCAAAGGTCTGACACTTGCTTGGTCGAAGTAAATAGTTTTGTTAATTACAGTTATTAGCAAGCACAGCTCCCATCATATTTCACTCTTGCCAGGAAAACTGCATCCCAATCCCATCCCTTCATATTTTACATACTAGTAGTGGGTTTGCTCTTAAGGGAACATCAATTGGTGTTAAGTCGGGGGCACTCCAATATTATCAATCCCCTAGAGCTGCTTGCATGTTAACACAGTACAGTCCAAATGGAGGATAATGCAGGCTGAGATCACTGTTATGTAGTGTGAGAGACCATCAATCATACCAATAAATTTGAAGATTAATCGCAGTTTGTCAAAAATGGGTTCTTGATTTATGTTTGTACCAGATATGGATAATTTGCTTTTGACATAGCTCCTTATTACGTTGAGACATCTCAAAGTGCTTTGCAGAATATACTGTAAAGTGTATTTTGTGTATTTATGTGTATTTTGTGAGCAAACTACGGCAGCCAATTTCAAAATTCATTCGGACTAAGACTGTTCCACAGTTCCAGCTCAGTAAGGATGAGTGGCAACAAATGACAGGAGATAGAAATAATCACAAGCTCCTTTGCAATTTCTTTAGATCAATGTGATCCCAAACACCCAACAGGAGGCATTGAATACAACACAGGAATGTGTCAGCTTAAAATTATTTTCCTGAAGTAGTATTCTTTCACGACCAGAAGCCATCCTATCCTGCCTGTCACAGACAAGTTTAAAGATACACTCTAGATCGATGGCTGGGAACACGTGTCTATGGGTCCTGGACCCATAAACTCAACAAGCGTTTACAATACTTATACCCTATCCTTATAGCCCAGTCATATTAGACTGTGAGCCATCAATTACAGCACTTACAACTTTCTTTTACATACACACCAGCTCGAGGCAAACATGCACAGGCCTTGCTTGAATCAATTGCTACAATGCTTGACGGATTTGCCTTTCCAAATTTTTACAAAACCACGTTCAGCAAGAACAAGATAGGAGGAAAGATTATTTTTAAGGTATATTTTTGTGTTTCTCCAGAGTAGAAAGTCCTGGTGAAATATTTGAATGTGCGCTGCGCTGGATCAGATTAATTTGGAATAGGTTCTTGAGCTGAAATCTAACTACAACAGAACATTGAGCATCATAACAGGTTATACAAGGAAGGGCTATCTCTAGCCTGTGGCATCTCCAGCTATTAAACTCAATTACAATATCTGGACTTAAATTTGGGCACAAACCTGATCCATGTTTTGTAAACGTCACCTCATTTACCTGGAAATATGCCTTTGATACAACACTCACTGACATGAACAGACACATGTACACAGCATTTGGCAGTTCATGGTATTCATAGATGCAAAATTAAGTCTTTTATTTTGTTTACAAAATATGACGAATAATTGGGGAGTCGGACACATATAGTAATACACACCAGATTCTCCTTGTCCCAACTCATATCTGCATACATATAATATGTTTTCTCTCTGAAACTATGCTTCTTTCAAATCATTATGGTGACACAAGCTTCCCTCTGCCACTCACATTGAACAGCCATTATATGCATCATAGCCACATTTCCCTCTGTGTAGGGAAGTGTGCAGGTTGTAAATGTTTCTCAACTACCACACTCACAATCTGATTATTTTACACAAAAGGTTTCGGCTCACTTTCATGGTCAATGAGATGCACAAGATATGCCAAGCTAACCTGCTGAGTGGTTAAAAGGAACAAAGCAGCATTGCTCAGTATTTTGTCAATGGGAATAGTTGGCATAGAAGATTAAAAAGGACCCTCCATCTGGCAATGGTGGCACTGGAGACACCTGAAAGACTGAGGTGGCCCTTAAAAGGACAACCTGTTCTTTTTATTCAGGAAATGGAAGACATGGAGATGACATTTTGATTGTCTGCCCGGGCTCAAACTAACTTAGAAAATACAGTGACTGAAATGAAGAATATTTTAGTGAGTAGCACAATAAAGCTGGTATTATTATCATTTTACACTCCTCTTTCAAGTTCACCTACAAAAATATAGTCACTACACTTTATTGTGAATCCTTTGAAGCCTCTGAGATGTCCTCCTGATACGCTATATCAATTGCAAGGATTATTATTACTCTTTAATGTAGGGAAACTCAAATAGTTTGATGCATTGTATCAGTTTAGCCTTCAATGAGACAGTCTCACAATAATTGGGAATCAGTGGCATTTCCAAGGGTAAGGGTTAAGATTTTAAGCAACAAAGATTTATCGCAACAATTCCGACTCATGATGTTAGCAACTTCAGCTTGAGAGATTCTGAACTGTATCTAATAGCATTTTAGTTGTAACATATTGGTTCCAGAAGTCATGTGTGATGTAACTCCTTATTCTAGCAGAAAATTTCAGTATCCTATCGGCTAATTTCCTTGTGAGTGTGAGTGTGTGGGAAGAGAAGAGTAGTGGTTGGACCACAGGATATAAAGCTACCTCTCTCACAGTTAACATCGCTTTAAAATAACGTGTTTCATTTCAAAAATTACTAACAACTTAAAAGTGATGATTAAACAACAAGATGGTTCATTATATTTAGTTAAAATAACTAAGATTTTTTTGCACAGACGTTTATAAAATTGTAAAAAAAATTGAAAAATAAATACAAAAATGTTAGTGACCATCTCGGGGCGACCTTTTCTCCAAATCTAGATCAAGTGTGTAACTAGGTGAGACACATCCAATGACCCATTATACAGCGTTCACAACTAATTGTGCCTGAAAGCTTCAGATCAAGTAGATATTGCAATTAAATTCCTATCCAGAATGAGAAAGCTGGAGAGGAAACACATTACCTTAAACATCTGCCATATTACTGAGGGAGACTGCAGTGAAGATTGCCATAAAGAAAATGGGAATTATTAAATTTGACTTGTCTGAAACATTTGTGAGACACAGAAGCTGGCCAAAATCCTTGCAATACAATACAGCAATTAATTCTAAGTATTGCACTTTTCTCTGAGTATAGACCACCGTAGGGACGTCTGCTTTCCCTAGGTAAGATGGCAGAGGTGCCACTAGATTGAGTCTTTCAATAAAATCTCCCCTCTAGTCTTCCCTTTGAAAGATCTTTGGAGAGTACATCTGTTTGGTTGGTCTGGATTGGCTGAACTTCACAAATATCCTCCAGTCTTTTCACATAGTAATAGTCTCATACTATCAAATGTTGAAGGTAAGTTTAGTTTGGTCCAAGAGATCAATTGCAAAAGTCATTTTGAAAATCATCATCTGTTCCTGAGTACTTCATAGTATCAGACAGGTAGGACATTTACAATGAAGATGTATTGTTGTGCCCACTAATTTAGGTGCAAACTCATTGCAAGTTCCTGAGGGAGCCATTATATTGTGCTGCCGTTGCTAAATATATAAACAACTTTTACATTACATTAGACACTCAGGAGCCCTGCAAATATTTGGGGTCCCAGTTGAAATGTATAGACCCCCATGTGTAGAATGGTTATTTAAAGGAGCTGCATGGATCAAAGGAAACACAATCTAACTAGGATGGAAGTTGTTCAGTGACAATTCAGAGTCTCAGGCTTCTCTGGTTGTGACGCCAGTTTGTCATTTTCATAGTAATAAAGCTTTCAAACAGCTTCAAGGATATAATCCAAAGACCAATTAGACACAGTACAAATCATTGCTTTTCAGAAAGTCTGTCAATGGGGCTTAACTGGAAATATTTAATAAGAAATATTTTGTATCGAAATCACTGAAAGTAATTTAGAAATTTGCTAATTACGCATTTCATGTTGAGAAATCTGTTAGGAAATATCGTAGACTCCAATGACTGACTAGCTTGCTGGAGTCCCTCAAACCAATCCAGTGTAGTTTCTTGCAAGACAAGTAAGTCCTGAGTTCTTTTAACAACAAAAAACAGGGTTTAACTATGGGTTACTTCCTAAACTCACTTAAATTCTGAGATCTAGAATATCAAGACATGTTTGTTCACTCGGTTGGAATATTCAAAATGATTTGTATACAGGTACTTTAAGGAGATTAGCCGATAAAACATAACTAGATGTACATTTTAAGAGCTTTAACCATGAGCCTAAACAAGCCAAAAAACAGTAACAGATTTGTTTACAAAGACAGCCACAATGGTGTTCTAACATGTACAATCAACGTGGGACAAAATGAGGCAATACATGTACTGTACAGTATTGGAGAGATATCCCTGATAAGATCAATGTCTGGTTAAGGTCACATTTTCTTCTTTGGTGAACTGGAACTGACCTCATCAGATTTCCACAGTATGTAGTAGTCAAGTGTGTGCAATAACAGGCATGCCAACTAGGTGTCAACCCAATGTAACCCAAGTTGGACAGTAACACAAGCAAACAAAATAAGGTTGGCTGAGACAGGTCATTCAAAGGGGATTCTTTCCTGCTACAAAGTTCTTAAGAGGTCCCACAGACTGTCACGTATCCTTGGGCTATAACAGTGCTGCTTCACAGTAATATTGAGAAGACGGGTCCATTTTTCACTTTACATTTTATGTAGGCATAATTCCTACAAGTGCCTGCTCAAATGTGAGTCTTTATTTCTTCCCCTTGTGTTTAAGACCACAGCATGTATAAATCCACAAGTTTAAAATGTCAACGCGTCCCTTCTTGCACATCTGCAGAGGCCCAACCTGAAGCCAACAGTTATAGTACCAAATGCTCCCTGAGCACAAGTCCAATTGTTTACACATGAGATCTCGACTGTAGCAATTCAAAATCATTCTGGTTAATGAGCACAATTTCCATTCCTCTTAAGACAAGAACTTCCACACTCGCTCAAAAAGCAAAACAGAAGTTTTGCCCATTACAAGGGGAATGGGGGGGGGGAAGGGGGGGTTAAAGAATGGCAACACTTGGGGGTTCACATGCTGTATTTGTCCATTGTAGGGAGACACTGTGTGAAGACAAAGTGGTTCCAAGGACGAACCCTCACATGCTCTTCCTTCTTGAACTTTGCACTACTTTACATGAGTGTGTGTGAGCTTCATGCCAGAGGGCTCTCCAAAGCTTCTCACCATTTTACTAAAGGGGATCCCAGCAGTTGCTCCAGAGCAACGTAGTTAAACACCTGAAAGCCTCTCAGACATACTGTAAAAAGAACTAGAAACAAAGTGAAATGAGGAAGGGTAACTTTGTCAGCTGCTGGCTGAAACGCAGCCTCTGTAGACTGACACAAAGGAAGTTCTTTTTTGCTGTCAAGGTAACCAGTGAAGCCAATCACAGTTGCTTCTCAGGATAAACTGCAGATAAGTGAGAGGGTGAGAATGCTGAAGGACTGGAAGATAGTCTGTGCATGAGCAACTCATCATAAGGCAAACCTGGCAGGACCGCGGCTCGCAGAAGGTGATTGTACATCTGCTGTGAATGGGACGCCAGGAGCTGTCGATGCTGCACAGAGCCAGGAACCATCACAGGAGAATTAGGAAGGCCAGGGCTTAGCACTGAATCTGACTTGCGTGGCTTCACAGAATTTTTATTCAAGTCCACGAGCTGAAAGTGAGCTCCAAATCTCTCTGCCATGTTCTGGAGTTGAGGCACTAATGCTGGGTGATAGCCTCCAAGCAGGTAGGGACTTGATGCTGGGCCTTTCCTGTTGTCCCCTTGACTTGTTGAAGAGGATGCCTGATTGGACAGATTTGATTCCGAATCTCTTTCAGGCGTGCCCTCTTGAGATACTTTATTCAATTGAGAGGCAAGTGACTTCTTTCCAGAAGATTCTTCTGTATCCTTTCTTGACTTGTCTGAATGAGGCAGGTGACTTTGCTCAGCTGACTTTGTGTTGCCTGAGGGAAGTGGTTGACATTCGGGACTTTTTTGGAGATCCTCTGGGCAGCTTTCCTTCATTTGGTCCACTATTATCAACCCAAGGAGGCCATTTTCTGCTGAAGACCTCTGGCTATTGGCTGCAGTGGTGGTCTCTGTGACTGTTTTGGAGGCACCTGGTAAGGATGAGATCTGGGGTGGATCAGGGGGATCTTTGCCCGCTGTCTCATAGCTCAACCTCATTTTCTTCTCTTGAGAGCTGTCAGAACCGGTTGAGGTTTCACTTGGCTTCTGGATCTTAGGATATCTTGGTAGGCTTAAGTCAGTTGGCAGATCATCCATCGTAATTGTGGAACCCTGGCTTGGAGGTGGCTCACTAAGTCCCTCTACCACAGAGCTGGGATCTAAATGTTGAGAATCTCCACTCTGGTCAGTTGCCTCGTTGCAATGGGAATCTAATTTGAGTTTCTTGACCGACTGTTCATCTTTCTCATGGCTTTCCTTGTCCTTGCAGTGGGCTTTGAGGGGTGAAGGGAGCAGATAGGAAGGGGCAGTCTTCTTTGACAGATAAAGTGGTGTATCCATGAAATCCCTAGTTCTCTTTACTGAGGAAGCCCTGCTTGATTTGCTGAGGTTTAGTGGAGAAGATTGTTCCCTGTAGTGTACTGAAGATACGCTGGGTAGTGGTGATTGTTTATTGGATAAGTTTTGAGGTAAAATCTCACACAGCGTTCCTTTATGGTCATATATATAGCTGCTATCTGAGGCCTTGCTTAAATTCAAGCATTCGCTCTTTAGATCCCTCTTCCTGGGCTGAGTCAATGACATTCCATTGGCAGCATTTACAGCCAATGACTTGAATAGCTCTGGTCTTGGGCTGGCTTTATTTTCCTCCTTGAGATTTTCAATATGTTCCAAGGAGCCTGTGTTACATAATAAAGACAGCGGAGATGCATTCTGATTCACCAATTGAATCCCATTCACTTGTCTAAACACAAGCTTCTTCCCTGGCCTAAGAGCCCCCTCGGGACCTGCCGTAGTGAGCCCTGTGGCTACATTGGCCCTTTCACTCTCTCCCAGGGTTTTACAGCACAACTTGAGCACCTGACTGTTCAGCCGTTCCACCTTGTGAGCTCTGTGCAAAGTGGGTCTGGACGCATCTTTGGACGTAGACAAGCCCAGCCTGCTTTTGAGAACATCGAGAGGTGAGACCCCTCTGGGCAGCTGGAAATTCAGGATTCCGGACTGGAGGTGTTGGAACATGGGCACCGAGGGCCGTAAGTCGATCTTTCCGCCCACAACATGCAGGCTTGGTTTAACACTGGAGTCACTGGCCAGGTCCAGCGATGACTTGTGGCTCTCTTGCGTTTCCCCACCTCGTTTTGTTTGCTCCCGTGACCTCAGTTTCTCGGCTTCTATCTTTTCACCCTTTTCTTGATCCATCGGAGGCCAGCTCTTAATTCTGGAATGTTCTCGCACGGCCGATGAACCACCCTCTGGTTTTTCACATTTTAGATGTTGGACCTGCCTGTCTGGGTGTCTCCGAGCATCCACCTGCACAGCTGGGACCTTCTTCTGATGCTTTACTTGGGAACCTTCAACATTCTCTAGGTGACCCTAAAAAGACAGCAGACATTGATTTCAGTTTTCATCCCCCTCTATTTACTGTTCCCAACACATACTTTGTTCTCTCAGCGACTTCCATAGGACTTGAAGACCACAGCACCAGCAGTCAGTCCTCCAGCACCTCACAAGTGACCATCCTTGACCTGTGAGCCCAGAGTGGGGGGTTTGTGACGTTACTCGTCGCTTGGAGGCAACAGAGCCCAGCTTAAACCTCTGCTCATCTGAAATGCACATATACGCCCTTTCCACTAGAGGTCACTAGATAGTAAATGGAAAATTTGGCCCTTCATCCAAATTTCTCAAATTAAAATCAACGCACTCATCTCCATGATCTTACTTGATCACTGAACAGGCAGGTGAAGGCTTTTAAGCTAAACCATGCAGTTAACACTGTGAGCTCAAAGCAATGCTACATACTTCCTGCATTCCATTTTTTTAAAAAAATAACATGGCTGTAAATAGATTGCCACCACCTTGTTACGATAGTCACTTGAGTCAAGTCATCACTGTGGGTGCTAAGGGGGCAGAGGGAAGCCTAGGCCAGAAACTTCCCCACAGTGAGTGAGGAAACATTACCCCAGGATCAATCACAAAATTGGTTTGGATGAAAAAGGCCCTTCATCCCATCTCATCCCTCCAGAACATCCACAAAATCATTTCTCTATCACAGCATCAAGCTGCTTTTTAAATGAGTCCAGCGTCCTGGCCTCAACCACCCTTCCTGGCAAAATCTCAAACTCCAAGTGGACAATTAGACAGGAAGATTGGTGCTTGCCAATGGAGCAAGTTTCTGGGTAGCTGTGTGTGACTGTGGATAGTTAGTCATTGCCTCTCAAAGTATTTTTTTTTGCAAAGCGAGGTTATTAGGACATGGAATGCCCTACAAAAAGCAGAGGTTGAAGCTTTGAAAGGGGATTAGAGAAATATCTGCAAAGGAAAAAAGCAACAGAATAAGTCAGGTGAGTCAGAGCGGGAGAGCATTCACAGGGAACCAATACAGGCACAATAAGCTAAATGGTCTTCTTCTGTGCTGAAAGATTCTATTTAGTCCACGACTCATTGTTGATGGGCTGAGGAAGGTAAATGTGGGGAAATGCTTTACAGAACTCTTTTTCATCAGTGTTTCTGAACCTGGAGTAGATGAATATATGCCCTTTCCACTAGAGGTCACTAGATAGTAAACTGGAAATTTGGCTCTTCACCCAAATTTTCACCGCGGCTCTTACTGTACAAGTGGATCACAGATGGACTGCGACACATCAGAAACCCAGAGTGAAGGGATGATCTCACCTCTTTCTCGGCTTTTCTCACTTTCACATGCAGCTCCCCGTTTCTGATTTTCACCTCCTTCTCCGAGTCCTCTGACATACTGGTCGTGTGCTTGCGGGCCTTGGCCGGGGGCAGCGGCTTGTCCTCCTCCCCCTTCAGATAGCGTTCGTACGGAAGGATCAACCTGCAAGGGAGAGAAACAGTCACGTCAGGTCACCTCCAGTCCACAAAATCCAGGCCATTCACCAAAGACCAGCACCAGTCACCACACCAGGGAAGTCTTACCAGTTCCACTGTTGCATAGGAGGCAGCAATCGATTCAGGTGATGGGAGTATTTATCATGATGTGTAATAATATTTCGCCCATAAAATACACAGTCAATCCACTTTACAGTATATCCTGTAAAGCACTTTGACAGGTCGGCGTATCAAATGCAAAAATTATTATTATTATATCAAACGCAAGGATTATTATATTCACATTCCTGCCAGTGTCTCCTGAAACCTACATCCGAAAGAACAGGGATATGGGGAAAAAGCAGGGATATAGAATTAAGGAAAAAGTGGGTGATTTAGTAATGCAGATAGTAGTAACACAGAGCCAATGAGCTGAATAGCTTCCTTCTAAACTTAAATAGTCATATATGCCAGGGCAAATCATCACTGTCAGAGTTTGACTCTTGCATGTGAGAATATTTAGCGGAACCGACAGAAATTCTTACGTGATACTGTATGATCCTGTTTGTGTATAATGGAGAAAGAATAATTGTTTGATTAAGTAAGCTTTTAGAAACTTCAGGCCAAACACCCACATAGCTGCACATTTACAATGATAGCAGTGACACATCTGGCAATATTTATATTGTAATGATATTAAATCTTGCATTTGATAAGTGTCCTATCACATCACCGAAATCCCTTAAAGCATTTACTGTGAAGTGTAGTGACTGTATATTGCAGATGAACGAGGCAGCCAAGTTACACAGAGCAACATTCCACAAACTGCCAATTTTATCAAGAGGATTGGTGGCTAGGAAACTGGGAGAAACTCCCTTCTCTTTTCAAATAATGTTGTGAGATCTTTAACATCCATCTAAACAGGAAGAGAGGTTATCATAAGAACATAAGAATTAGGAGCAGGAGTAGGCCATTCGGCCCCTCTAGCCTGCCCCGCCATTCAATAAGATCATGGCTGATCTATTCTAACTCCACCTACCCGCCTTATCCCCATATCCCTTTATCCACAAGAAATCGATCAATCTCAGTCTTGAATATGTTCAAGGACTGAGTATTTACAGCCTTTTGGGGCAGAGTATTCCATAAATTCACTACCCTCTGAGTGAAGAAGTTTTTCCTCAACTCAGTGCGAAAGGGCTTATTGTCTCAACCGGAGGGCTTGAACCCACAACCTTCTGATTCAGAGGTAAGAATTGTGTAAACAATGATAACTACAAACATTGCTCCTGTGCTGGTGCCAGCGTATCTCCAAAACACCGTGCCTCGTCATTATTTATGATAGTGTTGCTTGCAAAAGATTCAATAACTCGCTTGAATTCACATTTCATCACCACATCCAGTGCTTTTTTAAAACCAAACCATTTTTATTTGCTTAAGACTTTCTGATGGGACTTCCTCCCGATGTAAAAGGCGCTATACAAATGTAATCTTGTTATTGTTGATGAAATCAAAACAGGTCAGGAGCAAATTTGAACGCTGATTCACAACGCCTTGGAAATCAAAATTCCTTCAATTCACAACGGAAATTGTTTGTGAAGTCAGGTCCCTGGGATTATAATGTCAATGTTATACATTAATTGCATGGCAGTCTCCTATAAGAGACAGGAGATCCCCTCCTCTCCCACCTCCACCTCCATGTAGATATCTACTCCAGTGGGTGAATGGACAATTTGAAGATTTTTGGAGGACAAGATGGTGGCCGTGCTTTCAGCCACTACACCCTGAAACCTTGGAACTCTCTGCCTTAATCCCTCCATCTTGCCCCTCCCTCAGATCACAACTGAACACCTTCGCATGAAGGGTACTACATAAACGTAAATTGTTGTTATTGTTAGGAGCAATGCCTCCTCCAGCATTATCGCTGGCACAGGCTCAGCACTGCACTCCCATATATTGCCTATCACATAGTGAGATCTTTAATGTCCATTGAATAGGCAGATGGGAAATTGATTTAACATCTCATCCAAAAGACAGCACTTCTGACAATACAACAATCATCCCCCAGTACTGCATTGGAGTGTCAGCTTAGACTATGTGATTCCAAGTCCCGACGTGAGACTTGAACCCACAACTTTTTGACTCAACAACAACAACAACAACAAGATTCCATTTATAAAGCGTCTTTCACGTCAGGAGGACGTCCCAAGGCGCTGCACAGTTGGGTCATGACCCGAGCAGGGGGGAAATGGTCAGGGTGAGGGGAGGGAAGGGAGGGAGCGAGGAGGGGGAAGAGAGTCGAGAGGGGAGCTGAAGGCTCGGTCAAAGAGAAAGGTTTTGAGACCGGCCTTGAAGGAGGAGAGGGAGGAAGCAAGGCGAAGGCACTGGGGGATAGAGTTCCAGAGCCTAGGGGCTGAAAGGCTGAAGGCCCGACCACCGATGGTAGGGCGATTTGGGCGGGGGACGTGGAGCAGACCGGAGCCGGAGGAACGGAGGGTACAGGCAGGTAGGTAGGGTGATAGTAGGTTGGAGAGGTAGGAGGGAGCAAGGCCGTGAATGGCCTTGTAGGTGAGGATGAGGATCTTGAAATCAATGACTTGACTCAGAGGCAAGAGTGCCACCACTGTGCCAGGCTTACCTCTCGTAGTGTCTCCTGGTACAGGTGGCAGCACTGGTGCTCCCTGGGTTACCGCCTAACTCATCGTAGATGTGTTTCCACAATCGCCGGGCAGTAACCTGCAATGTCAAACAGACATAAATGGACATTACTGCTAGTGTGAACATACAGGTAGTCGGAAAGGTAATCACAGCTTGCAAGTGTTCCTTGTGATGTTGCTTTTTGCTCCATCAATGTGGGCTCTTTATGTCACTCTGGAGAATCTACCCAGCATTGAGTTATTCACCCACTAGCAGGGAACATGAGCTGGTCTTAGACAAGCTTTATGGCTGGCCGACAAAATCAATTTTCTTGATTGAATATTTTTTGATTTATGGCGTAATAAAAAAAAACTGAGAACGCGAGCCACATGTTGGCCACCACTGGCATACACCATTGTGAGATTGGTTAGTTTTACCTTAATGACGATGTGTTGTAGCAATTGCAATCGGAAGCAGTTATATATTTTAAATTTAATCCCAGCTTAATGAAAAATAATAAACATCTGATAGAGTGATCAGATACAATAACACTGGTTTGTGGTCAGATACAATAACGTTCGTTTGTGGTTACATACAATAACACTGGTTTGTGTCATAGTTATTTGTCTGAACTTTCACCTTATTCACCTTTGTCACTCCACCATATCTTCAGGAGAGATCTGCGAGTCAGAGTGTACGATTAGTGTGTGCACACTAACTGTTCCAACGACAGAAGGTAATTCTCAGGTTTCCAGGACTGAGCGATGGTTCCATGGCACTGACAGTGAGCAGCAAGGTTTCATTCTGTGATTAAATTGCTGCAGGGGAACTATACTATGGTCCAGGAGAGGCAAAGAGATTGGGCAGGCAGAAGAGGTGAACACTTCAGACTCGTGAGCAGATGGACAATGACAGTGTGGCACAATAATTCAGCATCAGACAGTATCAACTTGGTGAGAACAGTCAAAAAGGTTTCACAATGCATGATTGGGGATTGGGGTGTTGGAGAACGTTGGGATGAGAAGGATGTGTAGAACATTGGGAGCTCCTACCACATGAACACAGAATTGTCCACAAACCATCCCCATCACTATATTACCCACAATTAATTAAACGATAGTTCTGATTGGCTTCAGTAAGCAAAGCAAGAAAAGGAGAACGGCAAAATGAAACTTACCGCCTCATATCCTCCGAGTCGTTGTGTAACAGTGAACATTATGAAGAGATCAACTGTTGGAGAGGAAAAGAGGAAATGTTAATGTGGGCAAAAAGTGAGCTTTACAAAAAGGAAACACTCCAAAACCCAATACCTTCATCTCATGTGAAAGAATATGAAGGTGAGTTATCAGGAGTGGTGAGTTAAGCATATATACAAGCACATAAATAAATGCAACTAGGATACTGATAGCATGATTTTTTTGGGGGTCAGTCAGGTGTCTGACACATGAGGAAACCCATCACCATGCTTAAGAGTGTCCAAACCAAACTGAGAATTCCATGCATCCCACATACACATGGGAATCCCAGATAGACTGTTGCAATGGAATGTGCATTATCTCTCCCTGGAGGGATGCATCCTACTTACCTAATTCGAGAGAGTATTAGGTGCAGGTGAGCAAGAGCTAAGGTTTGGGGAACCTGAGTGCACGTTCGGTTACTGCTGGAGTCTAACCAGCTCAAACTGCATAGCTGACCATTGTGAGCACTGCCAGGTAAGCTTTCCTGCTGCTTGCCCACAATGACTCAAATGGTTGTGACAAGTTAAAGCCCGGGTGGAGTTATCAGGAGTTTACTGCGTTATGATTATCTTTCAAGCAACAATTTTCCATTGTGGGTTATAAAACGGTTAAGTTTACGAACAAAATTAGCAGCTCACCTGTGATTAGTCTCTGTGATCTCTTGTGATCACTTGTAAGTGTGTGAATTGACGAGGTGACACCCCTGTTAAACCTTTGCCTCTGAAACAGATCTTGGTGGCATTTGTGTTCATGTCACCAAGCTTCAATGTGTGTGTGAGGCACCGAGTACAGGTTAGGTGATTTCCTCGGTTTGGGAAGTGGGTGGAGAGCTGGGCGCAGCAAAAGGGACAGGTAAGCAATAAGAGTTGAACAGATACAAATGTATTTGGTTTGGGGGAGGGAGGGGAGGGTCGGAGAGAGTTTGAAACTGAAATGTGATAAATATCAGGTGTTAAGATGAGTTTCATTTCCAACAAAAAACAAAAAGCTCAGTTATGTTACATTATATATGGCACCTTTTCAGCATCCCATTTCTAATCTTATATCTCTCCCCTGGGACTAGAGATATCTGTAAAAGCAGGAAAGTAACACAATGGCTATAATGAATATTACATCCAAAGCGACCAAGAGACTTTTAGCTGCCAAGAGACAGACTCAGGTGAGATTGTTTGAACAAATAATAATAATCCTTGCATCACATCTTCCAGACGTCTCAATGTTCATAGAATATACTGTAACGTGAATTGACTGTATGTTTTCTGGACGAAATGCGGCAGCCAATTGGGCACAGCAGTGTCCTACAAACAGCCGTGGATTAAGTGACCAAATTATTTATTTATTTTTGAAGGGATTATTATTCCTGAAAAAGCAATCCGCCAATTGACTAACAACTGGTTAAGTAAGTAACAGAGTAAACAGAGGCGCGTGGAGTAAGAAAACATGCCCAACGTTTGACACATGCCCGGGAATCAAATCCAGGTCCTCTCGCTTGTGAGGCGAGTGCTCTCACCACTAAGCTACAGGATGAACCACTGATACTTGAAAAAACTTGAACCAAACAATGCAGCAAGTTTCTGGAGAATTATCTCACAGCTCAAGTCAACCAAGAGGACACTATATTATCTGACTCAATCCCACATTGTTCTTATCTAGGCAGCATTTTTAGACCACTTCTATGTGGTTTTAAGACACTCTGACCCCGCTCTCTGCAACCCAATCCCAGAGTCTCCACTGCACCTCTCCCCCGCTTTTAAACCCTGCCTTAAGACTTAAGTCTTCGGCTGTGCTTTCGGTCATCAATCCACGTCCCCCCACCTTGGGTTCCCAGGGTTCTGATCCGTCTTCCCAATGTGAAAGGCGCTATCTAAATGTAAAGTGTATTGATAATAATAATATCCTTGCATTTGATATAGTAGTCTATCATGTCATCGAGACATCTCAAAGCACTTCACAAAATATACTGTGTAAGGAAAGAGACATCATTGTTTGACTACCATCGGTGGTCGGGCCTTCAGCCTCTCAGCCCCCAGGCTCTGGAACTCTATCCCCCAGTGCCTTCGCCGCCTCCTCCCTTTCCTCCTTCAAGGCCGGTCTCAAAACCTTTCTCTTTGACCGTGCCTTCAGCTCCCCTCTCGACTCTCTTCCCCCTCCTCGCTCCCTCCCTTCCCTCCGCTCACCTTGACCATTTCCCCCCTCCTTGCTCCCTCCCTTCCCTCCCCTCACCCTGACCATTTCCCCCCTCCTCGCTCCCTCCCTTCCCTCCCCTCACCCTGACCATTTCCCCCTTGCTCGGGTCATGACCCAACTGTGCAGCGCCTTGGGACGTCCTCCTGACGTGAAAGGCGCTTTATAAATGGAATCTTGTTGTTGTTGTTGTTGTTGGATGTGTGAAAGAGCTGAGAAAAACATCTTAACTAATTCTTGTAATGTGACAGATGATTCAAACCAAATAGAGTTGAAGCCTGTGTCCTGGATTCTATGACATGTTTGATGACAACTTGATGGACAGATGTTATCCCTTTCTTATTTGGAAAAATGGTGCCTAACAGTATATTTCAAGTAAGCAAAATAGAGATTGTGTTTATAAAGAAAGAGTTTACAATCAACTAAAAAGATGCATCTTGGATGCATCAAGATTCACAAAGGAAGGACGTGTCTGGAGTGTGACCTGGGGCCTGATTGATGTAGGTCTTGGTGGCTGGTGGTCTGGTTGGAGAAGATCTCAGAAAGATTTTACAACCTGAAGGTGTCCAGCTAAGACCATTAAGTGATGAGATAAACTTTTCAACCACAGTTTGCCAGAACATGAAAGAATCTCCAAATTCCTGTAGGGTGGAGTTATTGATGACCTATGGGCATACCCTGGGTAAGGAAATGTAATTGGATGATTGAATTCAGGAATATGATTCGACATCTTTGATTGGGTGGAATGGCCTCTGGCTACACCTACTTATTTCATCATTATGTGACCAAACTTTGGGATATAAAATAACTAAATGAACGCTAAGAGGTAGGATACCATGGGCTAAATGAATTAGCTACTTGTTTGAGACAAAGGACCACAAATAACTTTGATCATAAGTCACTCAGGGTATGCCCAGGGAAAGGTTGAGATCATCCTGAGTCCTGAATCATTTCCCACAGTTGTCAGCATAAAATTTGTAACTGTTTAATAACCATCTTATTGATTAATAAATTAATCCATCGTCTCTGTCCACTATCTTACCTCAGGATCAACCACATTAAAAGGGAGAGGGTTAAAATCCTCTTAAAACCCTACAACTGTAAAATGAATTGATTGTATATTTTGTGCGTGAAATGCAGCAGTGTCCAACAAATAGTCATGGATTCAGTGACTAAATTATTATAATTTTTTTTTGGAAGGGATTATTACCCCCGGAAAGCAATCCGGGAATCGACTAACAACTGGTTTCCTATTTACTGCTGGTAAGAGTGTGGAGTAAGGAAAGTTGCCCAACATTTCACCCCGCTGGGAATCGAACCCAGGTCTCTAGCTTGTGAGGCGAGTGCTCTAATCACTGAGCTCTTGGACTCCACAGGAAATGCTCCCTTTCCTCAAGGCTGTGGGTCTGTGCTGCATTTCTCACCATTTTCTCCTTATTGCTATATACCTGACTGGTGACATTTCAGATTCCTCGCTCAATTGTTTCATAATCTCATGATTGCTGTACGCGTTCTATTCCCTCACACCACACCTCCTTGCCCAGAGTTATTATTTCTGTTGTCCTGTATATCTGGGCTTATATTCTCTGAAGTCAACTGTTTCTGTCGAAAGCAGCCTTTCCCTCAGGTAATGATCTGCCTCAAATTATCCCTTCCCTTGTGACTGAGTTTGACAACTCATCAAATACACACTTTTGAATCCAGTGAGATTCCATCTTCTCCTTCCCTTCCCACTCATCATGTGTTGACATCATTTGGTGAAAAATGTGAATATTTCATAATAAATTTGAAAGGTTTCAAACAAGTTATTGAAGCTGTTATGAAACATTGCATTTTTCACCTCCATGTGCTATTTTGGGCTCTTTATATTAAGCTATTACAGTATCATAGAATCATAGAATCGTACAGCACAAAAAGAGGCCATTCGGCTCATCGAGTCTGTGCCAGCTCTTTGAAACGAGGATTGTAATGTCAATCCCACCCGCAGCCCTTTCTCCATAACGCTGCAAACTCGTCCTCCTCAAATACCCGTCCACCGCATTTTTAAAAGTAGTTATCGAATTGGCCTCGACCACCCTTTCAGGCAATGTGTCCCAGATACTAGGAATACTAGGCTTTATAAATAGGACTCTGGCCTGCTCCAGCCTTTCAGCCCCCACTCTGTGGAACTCCATCCCACAATCCCTTGCCTCGCCCCCTCCTTTGCCTTCTTCAAGGCCCGTCTCAAGACCCTTCTCTTTGACTGTGCCTTCGGTCACCCTACTAACCCACCCTCCCAGCTCTTCCACCCTCATCTTGGGTGCACCTCCTTGACTATCCAGTACTTGGGATCTCCTCCCGATGTGAAAGACACTATAAATGTAATTTGTTGTTGTTGTTAAGGAATCCCTTTTCCTTACTTTTCTTGAAGCCCAGGTGAGGGATTCTGGAGATGGGAGTATTGCGGTCACGCATGAAGTTATGCAAAGCGTTGAGGAAGCGTTGCTCTTCGGAGAGAAGTTTGCTCGCATCGACCAGCTGGTTTGTTTGTGCGGGGCCATGTGCCATGCTCTCCGATTCAACTTTGACCTGGAAGGGAAAGAGACTGCATTAAGGTCAATCCGGAATCACAACTTCTACTACTTTCAAGCCTTCTGGGACTCTACCCTGCGTGAGCGGCACAAGATAAATGCAAGTTGCAGTTGTAGTTGTAACCAGGAGAGACAAACTAGTTAATTCAATCAACATATACATACAGTACATATACGTACAGAACTTCAAATGCCTCTTCAATGACCCCCTTGAGACTGCATAATATTTGTTACTATTTAGCTCCAGTTGATACAGGGTGACCAAAAGGTCATGATATCTACCCTATTATCTAAAAACAAACAAAAATATCATGATTTCTTTAATACTTATTAGTGATTGTAATGACTTTTTGGTCACCCTGTATTTAAACAGGAGAGTTAGACATAGATCTACGGTAGGGATGGGGATGGGAGAAGAGGGATGACTATATTTGTTAAACATGGTATTGGCTCTTGATGAATGCTGGGTAATTTCATGCCTTAATTTCTTCCATTGCCTCTGCTTCTCATGCCTCTCAGTTCACTAACATTGAAGCTATGGGTGCAGGCACTTAAGAAAGAAAGTTTACATTAGTAAACATTAGCCTTATCACTTTAGAACATCTCAAGTGCTTTTCTGACAGTGCCAGGACAAGTGACTAGATTTATAAGCAGACCCAACGGCCATTTAGGGACACTCTAGTTCCATAAACATCTATGTTTACCAGCACTCTGGGAGAATCTCCTTTCGCTTTTCAAATAAGGTCACAGAATTTTAACGTCCACTTGAAAAGGTAGGCGGGATCTCGACTTAACGTCTCATCCTAAGGACAGCATCTCCAACAATACAGAGCTCCCCCAGCAAAGCACTGGAGTTTCAGCCTGGACTGTGAGGTCAAGTCCCAATGTGGGCCATAGTCATGTTCTTTAGTACAACACTCATCGGTCTGTCACCTTTCATGGCTCAAAGCTACTGCACTAGATGCTTTGATTTCTCGAGGACAATACCTGTTGAGAGCTCTGTAAAGTGGACAAACGTGCTGTGTGAATAGTGAGTACAGTATCACCCATGGTATTTGGTGCAAAATGCAAAACCACCATTCAGTGCTGAAACGCTACGTGTGAAGAGTGCTGTATAAATGTTGTTGTTGAGACGCATCTCACAGGATGTTGCCACATCTGTGGAACTGGGCACACGTGATGATCTTCACAATCATCCAAACAGGCGCTGCATAAAGACCAACACAATGCACGCCACAGAATCCCCTCCTCCATTCACAATGACCCCTGTACCCTGGCCACTGGAGTCCGGAGGCTGACAGCACAGCTTGGCAGGTCTGACCTTTCGTTGTCACAACAACCACCAGAAAAGGAACAAAGAATTTTGGAAATTGCTACAGAAATGTACCAGTGAGATTTCTGGTCGAACCCATAAGACAGTTGCCTTCCCTTGATTCCCTTCCCCCCACACACACACTCTCCTATAGCTAAGGATGCTGTCTCACTGATTAAACAGCAGAGCAATATCTTGTTCACAACATAGATGAGGCCTGAAATAAACAAGCTTCCTGGTGCAGCATTGAGAAGAGATCTTGGAAACCTTTTAACTCGTTCCCTCTCATGTTCTAGAAATCAAAATGCTGTATTTAAAAGATGCTGAAGGTGACTCATGGATGTGTCCCATACTATGGAGTCCTTGCATTTGTTCCAATGCTTTGAGACGTCTCAAGGCGTTTCAGAAGGGACCAGCTTTCTCCTGGTTCTGGCTGTTAGTTTCCACTGTTGGTGGACGTGGGAAGCCAAAGGAAGAACCAAGGGCATATTAATAATAATCCTTGCATTTGATATAGTGCTTTTTCACATTATTAAGTGGTCTCAAAGCTCTTCACAGAATACAATGCAAAGTGAGTTGACTGTATATCTTGTGGGTAAAATGCGTCAGCTAATTGTGCAAGCAGTGTCCCACAAACAGTTGTGGATTAGGGTGTCCAAATTATTATTATTTATTTATTAAGTTTTTGAAGGTATTATTAAGATCCGCCAATTGACAAACATTAGCGTTCCTACTTGCTACTGGGTAAACAGAGGCATGAGGAGTAAGGAAAATTGCCTAAGGTTTCGCCCTGCTGGGAATAGAACCCTGGTCCCCTTGCTTGCGAGGTGAGTGCTCTAACCAATGCGCTACTGGACTCCTCCACTTTGCTGATTGTGGAAAAGAAAGGGCGCTTTTGTGTGGTCAAAGTGCAACTTGGCATTGCACTACTGACCACTTAACAACGGATCGCCAGGATAACTAGTGGGAACTAAATCAGACGCAAATGGGAACCACGACAATAGTTTCAGAGGAGGTTGCGCATTGAAAAGTTAATATTATAATAATCCTTACATTTGGTATAGCGCTTTTCACATCAGGTCTTCTCAAAGCAATTCATAGGATACACTGTAAAGCGCAGTAACTGTGTGTGGATAAACGTGGCAGCCAATTTCCGCACAGCCAATTGTACCACAAACAGCCATGAAGTGAATCACCAGTAAAAGCTTAAGGGCCGCGGATATCCCATAAATACTGCCTGCAGAATATTCCACAGAATGCACAAAAATGGAATGGGAGCACGGAATCCATGAAAGGCAGCTCCTGGCAGACTTTGCCCAGGGCTCCAGGATGCGAAAGGCACTACTGCATATAAATGTAAATCGCAGTGTATTGTATAGCTTTTATCCCACTTTGTAAGCATTCAACGAGGAAATAACAACAACTTGCATTTATAGTGAGCCCTTTATGCAGGACAATATCTTGGAGCTCTTAACAGAGGCGGAGCCTGAAGCCGAACCGAGGGGAGGGAGGAGGTGATCTTAAGCATGGTGGAAAAGAGAGTTCTTCAGGAATTATATAAGAGAGGGGAAGGAGGGGGTGCGCCAGGGTGATTGAGGGAGAGTGTTCCAAAGATTCACGGCATATTGGCTGAAAGAGCGGCTGCCGATGGTGGAGCAGAGGGGATGAGAGACAAGCAGGAGGAATCACTAAAGAAGCATGAATTAATCAAGTGAAATGAACTCCCCACCCAGTGGTAAATTTCCCAAAAGTGAGCTTGGAAACCTTATGAACCTTTTGCTCCTGGGTGGTGTCCGACTGGCTAGGCTGACGGTTTTCTCGTGATGCTCTCTCGTCGCTCCCCACCCCTCTGGCTTTCTTCTTCCGAGATCTCCCTTTGTGAAGAGCGGCTGCAACAGCAACAAACAAACAAACAAACAAGAGAGAAAAAGGTATCAGCTGATATGTCCAGGTAAACCTGTGCTGGGACACCACAATGGCAAAAGCAAACTTTGTGTCTTTTCCTTTTGAGTGGGGCTGGGCCTCCTACCGAGCATGCTCAGTAACAGCTGCAATTTGCATACTGTTCTTTTTGGTTCGTCTCCAGCAAAACGTTGGATTTCATTAACTGAATATCTTATCCTGGGATCTGGGTTTGAGCAAACATCACTCTGGGCAAAGTAGATCCATCCCTAGAATATAGATAGCACCACAACAGCAAACAATGCAGCTAACAGCTACTGAGGTATACAATGACCAGCCAGTTACAGAAAAGCCTTTTATCAAAGATACTCCCCCCCACCTCTTGCAAAACTGACTGTAATTGCATGCGCATTAACTTTTAAACCACTGATTCCCTGAATACAGTGCTGATTAGCGGGAGAGCCTTCAGCCACTCTGCCCCCAACCTCTGGAATTCCATCCCCCAGTCACTCCTCCTCACCCCGCTCCTTAGCCTCCTTCAAGTCCTGCCTCAAGACCCTCCTCTTTGACCATGCCATCGGCCACCCCCCTTCCCCTCTCCTCTCCGCCCCCACCACAGCTCGGGTCTGAAATGCTGTACTCTGTCCAGTGCCTTGGGACATCCTCCCGACGTGAAAGACGCTATACAAATGTAATCTTGTTGTTGTTATTCTCCCACTCACCCAAGCAAAAAAAAAGTTTTCAGTGGAAATATTCAGAACAGAAATCTTCTGACTAAATTTTGTCTCGTATGGAAACAAAACGCAACACAATTTACATTAATATAGCGGTCTTGCACCCTGGGAGGATGTTTCAAAGCACTGAATTCAATGAGTGGTTTCACTGATGATGTCTGTGCCACTTATCTCCACTCTTTCAAATATCAGCCTTTGGACACTTGCAATTGGTCTCCGACCAGCTCTTGGCTTTGTTCCAGAGCACTGTAACTATACGGAGCGCTTTTCAAAGGGGGATAGCCTTTGCAGTAAGCAACTCGCCAATGTTTCTCTCCAGTGATAGTAGCCTACCAGAGCTCCTTACTTTAACCCAACAGGACTGATGCACTTTAATGTGCTGGAAATCAAACCAAGTAAAACTCTACACCCACTGTACTGTCTAAGCAAATGGTTGTGTCAATATCTTTGTACTCCCATGTAACACAATGCCCACACCGATAGCGTTCCTCTCCTGTCAAACCAGACAAACATCATTACACTCTTGTGCAACTGAATATGTGGCTTGATATTACGCCCATATATCCAAGCTGCTATCATTAATTTCCTGCAGCATCAGAATGGTAATTATGCCTGTACTTTGACATTCCTGAGCTCAATCGCTGATCTTGCAGTATGCTGTAATCAATTAGCAGTCCAAATTCCACTCAAAAGCCTGGACACGACCACTCTGCAAGGCTGTGGGAGGAACACCTTCAGCATTAAAAACAGAACTGTCTGAACTGAAATTATTGTTCCTCTCTGAGGTTATCGAACACACGTAAATTCAATAGGACCCGCTGACTGATGTCTCTGCCAATTGCTCTCACATTCACGTGCAACCATTGAATCGAGATTCAATTCACATCCAATGTATAACTTTTGAAACAACTTGGAAAACTCCAGTCCAAAACACACGGCTCAACAGCCCCTGCGCCCTCTACTCCCCACATGGGAAACATCTACAGACGGATCTTTAAGAAACGATTCAACTTGCCCGCTTACCTTCCAAGCGGCCAGACAATGTGCTTGTACCAGCGCCTCTTCAAAGTTTCCGAACTATACAGTTGTGGTTTAACCTATTCAGCACGTAACCTGTCAAACACACTCAACAACAACTTGGCCCTCAAGCAGGGTAGCATCCCAGAGCGCTTGACAGTGGCGGAGCACGATGCTGAGCCGGGGGGGTGGTGATCGTAGGCCCAGGCAAATAGGAAGGTCTTCAGGCGTGACCTGAAGATGGGGAAGAAAGGGGCAAGCAGGAGGGATAGAAGAAGAGTGTTCCAGAGTTTCGGGGCGTAATGGCTGAAAGTGCGGCCACTGAGGTGGAACTGAAGGCACGAGGGACATGCAGAAGGCCGCAGCCAGTCTAGTGGAAGCAGCGGGTTGTGGGGTAAGCAGATTGGAGAGGTAGGGAGATGCCAGGGCATAAAGGTATTTGAAAATGAGTGTGAGGATCTTGAAATCGATCTGCTCAGCGATAGGAAGCCACTGGAGTCTGGCTGGAACTGGTGCGATTGGGGTACGTAGTTTAGTACGGGTGAGTATACGGAGCTGATGAAGTTGGGCAGTCCGGCAAACAGAGCATTTGACAAGTTGAGTCGGGAGGTGACGAATGCATGGACAAGTGTTTTGGCTACATTTGGGGTAAGGGACGGTCGGAGGCAGGCAATGTGGGGGAGGCGGAGGAAGTTTTTGCTCATCCAGGCCCTGGTGTCTGGCAGACAGGTTGAGAGAACATCGGTAGACTTGGAGTTGCAGCTGATGGAGAAGTAGATTTGTGTGGCATCCGAATACATGTGGAGGTTTAAGCCAAGTCTGCAGATTACATCGCCAAGAGGGAGCATATAGATGATCAGGAGAGGGCCAAGGATGGAGCCCTGGGTTACACCACAGGTGACCAGGTGGGGCGGGAGGTGAAACTGTTTGAGGAGACAAAGTCCTGAAAATTGGGCATTTTTAATCTACGACTGTTTGAGACACTGCTGTGCGCAATTGGCTGCCGCGTTTGCCCACAAATGTACAGTCAATTCACTTTACAGTATATTCTGTGAAGCGCTTTGAGACATCTAGAAGACATGAAAAGCGCTATATCAAATGCAAGGATTATTAAAGTCAAGGCGGTTTGTTAGGTAGGACTCGAACCAGGCTCGTGCAGTCCCACTAAGATGGATGAGGGAGAGGCAGTGGATGAGGATGGTGTGGTTGTGTCAAACGTGGCAAAGATCCAGGAGGATGAGGAGTTAGAATTGGTTACAGAAAGAGAGGACGTTGTTGATGATCTTGACAAGCACCGTCTCTGTGCTATCGTGAGAGCAAAGCTGGTCAACGACAACACGTTCCAGAGCTTTGGCAAGAAAGTTCATCACTTCCTTCCCAAAGCCGTAGTATTCATTCATCACAGGAGCCCATAAACAAAGGCTCTCTCTCCTCCCGAATTAGCTTTAAAGAGTATGCTTGGTTTCACTGAACATGCTCACTGTTAAACCTGGAGGTTCACATTGCTTAGAGTCAACTGGTCAAACCGGCTCCCTCATTTGCCTCTGAACTCGGGCGCTGGCAGCATCAGCCTCCACGGCTGCACACTCAACCTTACAAAACTAGTCAGGAATCTGGGTGTCTTGTTTGACCCTTAACTGTTCTTTCTCCCCCACATTCGCGCCATAACCGGCACTGCCTAACATCACCTCTGCAACATTGCCAGACTCCGCCACTGCCTCACCCTCAGGCTGCCGAAACGCTCACCCACGCATTCGTCACCTCAAGGCTAAATTATCGAAACTCCCTCCTCATCGGCCTTCCCAACTCTTCCCTTCACAAGCTGCAGATCATCCAAAACTCTGCAGCTCGTGTACCTTTGCGCACCAGGTTCCGTGACCCCATCACTCCCACCTTCGTCCAACCCCACTGGCTCACCATCCCCCAGTGGATCAAATTCAAGATACTCATCCTCACTTTCAAGGCCATCCATGGTCTTAACCCTCCTACCTCTCCGACCTGCTGATTCCCTACCAAACTGCCCGCTCTCTCCTTTCAGTGGGCTCTGGCCTGCTCCATGTCTCACGCCTGACCTGCCCTACCATCGGTGGCCGGGCTTTCAGCCTCTCTGCCTCCACAATATATTCTGGAACTCCATCCCACAGTCCCTTCGCCTCGCTTCCTCCCTTGCCTCCTTCAAGGCTGGTCTCAATACCATCCTCTTTGATCGTGCCTTCAGTCGCCCTCCCACCTCTCTGCCTTCCCTCACCTCTATCCCACCCCTCCCTCATGTTCGGGTCCTGACCCCTGACTGTCCAGGGCCTTGGGACATCCTCCCGACGTAAAAGCTGTTCTATAAATGTAATTTTGTTGTTGTAATCCATTATATTTAAATTAGTTCAGGATCACAGTGAAGTACAGTCTATCTGCACAGCTGTTATACAGAAACATTAAGAATCTTCTCATTTAAGCCACAATCTCAAACCCTTAGACATCACAAGGGGACTTTCCCATCTGAGTATGTTCAATACAAACTGCTGCATCAAATTTTAAATCCATTAAGCCTGAGTGACCTCCTTCCCCTGAAAACTATTTGCAAATTAAATGTTTTAAAAAAATGCAGCCAGTTCTGTGCTCCAGTTACCAAAGTGTGCGCTGCTCCTAGATAATGATTGATTCTGATCACTGGCTGACGACACCTGGCTGAGTGACTCACTGGATTTGCACTTGTGAAAATATTGTTATTGAGTCCATCACTCGACGAGATGTGGAGTCCGTAGTTTGGTGGTTAGCACGCTTGTCTCTCAAGCGAGATGACCCGGGTTCGATTCACGGACGGGGTGGAATTTTAGGCAAGTTTCCTTACTCCCACACACCTCTGTCTACTTAACAGTAATTAGCAATCCGGTTGTTAGTCGATTGGCAGATCGCTTTCCAGAGATAATCCCTCAAAAAATAATTTTGTCACCCAATCCAAACAGTTTGTAGGAAACTGCTGTGCGCAATTAGCTCTCACGTTTCACCCACAAAATACACTGCACAGTCAATCCACTTTACAATATAATCTGTGAAGCATTTTGAGACGTTTCAATGACGTGATAAGGTGTTATACCAGATACAAGGATTATTATTATTAAGGTGTTTCTGTCTAACTGCAACATTACTATAATAATAATAATCCTTGCATTTGATATAGCGCTTTTCACGTCGGGAGGACGTCCCAAAGCGCTTCACAGAACACACTGTAAAGTGAATTGACTGTATATTTGTGGGCGAACGCGGCAGCCAATTGCGCACAGCAATGTTCCATAAACAGTCGTAGATTGAAAATGACCAATTTATTATTGCTTTTGGTTTTGGAGGGATTATTATTAGGCTCTGTGTGGAGTAAGGAAACTTGCCCAAGGTTTCGCCCTCTGCCTGGAATTGAACTCAGGTCTCTCGCTTGCAAAGCGAGTGCTCTAACCACTGAGCTACAGGACTCCAATTTACTGCTCAACTTGTGAAAATCCCATAGCAATAAATGGTAAATCCACGTATTCTCTTACCTTACACTTACTGCTCTCACCCATTAATGACACCAATGGCAGGTGGAAATGGAAAATGCAGTTTTCAAAAAATCTATGCCCCTTGATATAATTCTGTTCGTAAACTATAATTATTCCACTCCACTGAATCCTCCAGGTTTGTTACAGCCCACACTCTAAAGTTCAATATTATGCTCAACGTGACTCTCCAAATTTGTTAAATTCCAAATCACAATTTGCTGGAAGTTAAGCAACAGAAAGTTATTGGAATTTCCTGATGTGAATAAATATGCAACAAATTGGGAGGAGGGTAGGGAGTTAGGGGATGGAGCAGTATTGCCCAAACAGAATTGCACTGCTCCTTTGTTTCTTCCTCTCTATATAGGCATGCATTTCTGACGTGAGAAGGTATGTATCACGGATACAACACTCACAGGAGCAGCTCAACTTAGTGCCTCAAAGCATATTCAGTAAAGATTGGGGATCAGCTCAGGAGAAATAAAGAGGCAGCGATGCCCTCGAAGTAGCAAAGCTTTGGATAACTATTCACAGCATTTCATCAACTGGGGAGATGCGCAGGCTGAGAGTCTGTGAGTAGGCAGCGTTCATATTAACAAGGGGATTCACTGGTGCAGTCGCTGAGCAAACCCTTAACTGTTCAGTGCCTTGGGAAATCCTTCCGATGTGAAAGGCACTATATAAATGTAATTTGTTGTTGTTGTTGTTGAGCGGGTTGAGAGATAGTAGTGGTGGTTGGTGGGGGTCCATGTTATTGTGTAGGGTTCCACCAGTGCGGGGATTAATTGGGAGCATGGGTGGGGGGGGGGGTAACAGTGTTAATTTGGGAATTTCGGGAGAGGGAGTAACTAGTGGAAACTGATCTGACTGAGAGCGAGTGTTGAGATTGATATGCAAAGCATTTACATCACTACAAATTTATTTGGAAACATTTTAAATAAAGAAGCAGAGGATTTCAAAATTTGGGAAGAATGGGGGTGCAGAGGATGTTAAAGACATTTCCAAATGTCCCCACGCAATGTCTCCTGAGCTGATCCCCAATCTTTACTGAATATGCTGTTTTAAAGCAGCCACAGATCAGGTGGCTGTTTGTGTGGGTTTCGAATACAGAGCCACTTTTTCTGCAGTGGTGCACTCATGTCGCCCTCTTGTGTTTCTATCTGGTACTTCAGCCACAGGGCACCTGCCATTTGGCTCAGAATTCATAATTGCACAAATTCCCTCAAGTGACTATTTACAGTCATTTCAATCTTATAGTTATTCCTATGACACTATTTGAAAAGAAAAGGGGAGTTTTTCGCTCCCAGTGTTCGTGGCAACAATCCCCCCCGTAAAAAAAATAGTTTGCAGCACTCCAGTTGTTTGTGGGACATTGCAGTGTGCAAACTTTTCGCCCACATAATACAATCAAACCACTTTACAATAAATGTTGTGAAGCGCTTTGAGATGCCTCGACGAATTGATAAGGCACTATATCAAATGCAAGGATTATTATTATTACTTTAACATAAAAGCATGACATCAAGGCAACAGAGTGCATAAGAGCAGCCACAAATTAAAAATAATAGGTGTTAAAAACTTTCAGCTGTATACCACATCTTCTGTTTTCCTGAAACTATGGGGTGTAAATTGTGATTTTTTTCAACAGATTCAATCTCTTAAAATGTCTGAATTTACCAAAACTGACCACAGAACACATCATTGTTATTGACCAGAGTGTCAATGTCACTTCACAGGATAATTTTAATTCACAGGATTGTGTTAATTCACCATAATCCAAACCATAAGTATATATTTAAAAAAACATACATCATTAATGAACAGTGCTATACTTTTGACAAATGTTATGCTCCACAATATCTCCAATCTCATATAATTCATAGATTCATAGAATTATACAACAGAGAAGGAGGCCATTCGACCCATCATGTCTGTGCCAGCCCTTTGAAAAGAGCTATCCAATTCAACCCCACTCCCCCACGCTCCCCCCATAGCCCTGCAAACTTGTCCTCCACAAATAATTATCGACTTCTCTCTTAAAAGTTGTTATCAAATCGGCTTCCACCAACCATTTAGGCAATGCATTCCAGATCCTAACAACTCACTGTGTAAACGATTTCTCCTCACGTCCCCTTTGTTTCCTTTAGCAACTATTTTAAATTGGTGTCCTCTGGTTACCGGCCCACCCACCAGTGGAAATAGTTTCTCCTTGTTCACCCTATCGAATCCCCTCATAATTTTGAAAACTTCTATCAAGTCTCCTCTTAACCATCTCTGCTCCAAGGAGAATAATCCCAGCTTCTCTCGCCTCTCCTCATAACTGAAGTCCCTCATTCCTGGTACCATCCTGGTAAATCTCCTTTGCATCCTCTCCAATGCCTTGACATCCTTCCTAAAGTGTGGTGCCCAGAACTGAACACAGTCTCGAGCTGAGGCGTAACCAGTGTTTTATAAAAGTTCATCATAACTTCCTGACTTTTGTATTCTATGCCCCCATTTAGATATGTGGTATATTTAGATTTTAAAAAGGCATCTGACAAAGTGCCACACAAAAGGCTATTGCACAAGGTTAAGGCCCATGGGATTAATGGGAACATATTAGCATGGATTGAAGAGTGGCTAACGGGTAGAAAACAGAGAGTAGGGATAAACTGGTCATTCTAGAATTGGTAGGATGTGACTAGTGGAGTGCCACAAGGATCAGTGCTTGGGCCTCAGCTATTTACCATTTACATCAATGATCCAGACGAGGACATTGAATGTTACATATCTAAATTTGCTGATGATACTAAACTAGGTGGGAGAGTAAGCTCTGAGGATGTTGCAAAAAGTTTGCAATGGGATATAGATAGGCTCGGGGAGTGGGCAAGTAGGTGGCAGATGGAATTTAATGTGGGGAAGTGTGAAGTTATTCACCTAGGTAGGTAGAAAAACAGATTATTTTCTAGAGGGGGAGAGATTAGATAGTGCTAGTGTTCAGAGGGATTCGGGTGTCCTTGTACACCAGTCTCAAAAAGTTAGTTTGCAGGTGCAGCAGCAACTAAGAAGGCGAACGACATGTTAGCGTTCATTGCAAAAGGTTTAGAGTACAAGAGTAGGGAAGTCTTGCTACAACTGTATAGGGCTTTGGTGAGACCGCACCGAGAGTATTGTGTGCACTTTTGGTCTCCTTATTTAAAAAAGGACATACTTGCCCAAGAGGGGGTGCAGCGTACATTCACTCGGTTAGTTCCTGGGATGAGGGGACTGACCTATGAGGATAGGCTGAATAAACTAGGGCTGTATTCTCTAGGGTACAGAAGAATTAGGGGAGATCTTATTGAAACATATAAGATTCTTAAAGTGCTGATAAAGTAGACACTGAGGGTCTGTTTCCCCTGGTAGGAGAATCTATAACCAGGGGTCACAGTCTTAAAATTAAGGATCAGCCTTTTAGAACAGAGTTGAGGAAACATTTCTTCACTGAGAAGGCTGTAGATACACAAACCTTGAACATCTTCAAGGCTGAGACTGATAGATTTTTTTAAAGATAGAGGGATTAGGGGATATGGGGATAGGGCAGGTAATTAGAGTTAGGTGTGAAGATCAGCCATGATCTTATCGAATGGCGGGGCACAGGCTCGAGGGACCGAATGGCCTACTCCTGCTCCTAATTCTTATGTTCTTATAAAGCCTAGTGTCCCGTATGCTTTTTTATTATCTACCTGTCCTGCCAACTTCAAAGATTTACTTATATGAACCCCCAGGTCTCTCTGTCCCTTCCCCCCCTTTAAGATTGTATCATCAGCTTATATGGCCTCTCCTCATTCTTCCTCCCAAAATGCATCACTTTGCATTTCTCCACATTAAGCTTCATCTGTCACGTGTCGGCCCATGTTACCAGTCTGTCTATGTCCATTTGCAGTCTGCTGCTATCCTCACTGTTTACTACTTTTCTTTGCTTAGTATCATCTGGAAACCTGGAAATTGTAGTCCCTATACCCAAGTCCAGGCCATTTATATAGATCAAAAACAGCAGTGGTCCCAATACCGACCCCTGGGGGCACCACTGCACACTTCCCTCCAATTAGAAAAACAACCGTTCACCACCACTCTCTGCTTTCTGTCTCCCAACCAGTTCTGTATCTGCTTTCACTGTCCCTTTAATATCTTGGACTTCTATTTTGCTTACAAGTCTGTTATGTTGCACTTTATCAAACGCCTTTTGAAAATCCATATAAACTACATCAACTGCACTACCTTCATCCACCCTCTCCGTTAAAATTGGACCTCATGAGAAGTTTGAGTCCACTAATTCTGATTGTGCCTTATAAATATGGCCGGCAGTCAGTTCTTCTGGATCCACTGCTTCCTGTCAAACAGGAAGTTGGCAAATGAACTTGCATTTCTTACAGTTGACAGGGCTCCACTGGTCCCCAGGAGATCTTCTGCGCCTGTACGATGTGCACAACAAGCCATTGTGTCAACATCATACGTTTACCACATACCAGGTACACCATAAATGTCAGGGTCCAGCGTAAACAGAGCCGCCAACAGTCCTGCTTTGTTTCGTGTAAAACAATGAACCAGTTCCCAGTTTCTATTGTAAATTGCCGACTGTGAAAGTGGAGCATCTACTGCAGGGGGTGGGAGGCCACCAGTCTGGGCGGGTGACAAGCCTACCTCCGGTCAGATGAAGATGGATGAGGGTCAACGCCGGTGGCCGTGAAGCGATCCTCAGTCTTGTTCGTATCATCCTCCCGGCAGATGTGCGTGTCAGGACACGAGGTGCTGGAGAGTAGATGGTGGGGCGGGGATGTGTCAGCAATGCTCATATTGGAGGGTTTCACCATCTTACAGTTATGGTTAGAAGCTTCTGGATTTTGTTTGATACAGAGATTTAATGCGCAGAGAGTTCAAGTTGCAGAGAAAAACTTCCTTTACACCAGTGGCAGTCAAAAGTTTGGGTAAGCCAACCAAATATATTTTCTTGATGGAATATTTCTTGATTTATGGCCGCATCAAGGGCATCGCTGTTCGGTAACTACTGGAAACAGGGCATTAATTTGTAAAGGACTCACCTGGATTGGTGCAAATGTTCGGGGGCCACTTCGGGCCTACAGGCTGGCAACCACTGCTCTACACTGTCTTATCAAGGTCTCCTACATTAGGTTTAGCGCAAGTTAGTGAGTTATAAAACTCCCTCTAATCGGGTATAACAACCTATACCAGTTGATATTCTCTCTCTCCCCAAGCTATTCCTCTTAAGTGCGACTGCCGATTTGCACCAAGTTGCAGTTGGCCTTGTGCTATGTGCTTACCCTCACCAGGAACTAACTTGAGAGAATAATATAAACAATGCCCGTATTTAGCACAGAATCAAAACATCTCCAAGTGCATCACAGGGGAATTGTTGTCAAGTGTAGTGACTCTACACTATATCAAATGCTATTATTATTATCAAAACATCTCTGTGTGTTCAGTGATCAGCAACAGAGTGCAGAGCACACAGAATAAAATATCACAGGTTTATTCCCACTCTGATCTGAGTTACTGATCTCAACCAGAACAGCGATCAGCGAGTTACAACCCAGTCTCAGCATCCCTGAGCTTGGCGTTCTGTTCGATCCGGAGCTGTTCTTTCTTCCTCATATCCTGGCACCTCCCTCCACAAGCTGTAGATCATTCAGAACTCTGCAGCTGTACTGTCCCGCACCAGGCTTCGCGACCACATCACTCCCACCCTCGCTCGCCTCCACTGGCTTCCCATCCCCCAGAGGATCGAATTCAAGATGCTCATCCTCACCTACAAAGCTATTCACGGCCTTGCTCCCTCCTACCTCTCCGACCCCCTATCCCCCTACTTACCTGCCCGTACCCTCCGTTCCTCTGGCTCCAGTCTGCTCCACATCCCCCGCCCCAACAGCCCTACCATCGGTGGCCGGGCCTTCAGCCTCTCAGCCCCGAGGCTCTGGAACTCCATCCCCCAGTGCCTTTGCCGCTTCCTCCATTTCCTCCTTCAAGGCCGGTCTCAAGATCTTTCTCTTCGACCGAGCCTTCAGCTCCCCTCTCGACTCTCTACGCCCTCCTCGCTCCCTCCCTTCCCTCCCCTCAACCTGACCATTTCCCCCTTGCTCGGGTCCTGACCCAACTGTCCAGCGCCTTGGGACGTCCTCCCGACGTGAAAGGCGCTCTATAAGTGAAATCTTGTTGTTGTTATTGTTGTCGTTGAAATAAGCTGGTGCTCCTGCTCGCTGTCCATTGACTCCCTGCGGAAGCTACACTTGCTGGGTGAAGACACGTCAGACTCAGGTATGACTCTCCGTCAACAGTCACTGTCCAAGCTCGCATATGAGGAGTGTGTACTGTGGGCTGAGGCATCGATCGGGAAGCATGCCCCAATGCGAGTCAGTGTCTCAGAAATAGAAAGGAGAAACATTAACAAATAAAACCTCAACAGTTCACGGCAAAGAGGCTCTTACAAGACTCTGGAAGGAAAATAATCACCAAATCTACAACACTCACCAAGTTCATCGCAAACACACTTGTTGTCTGCCAGCGTGGGGTGTTCGAAGGTCTCGCGACAGTAAAGGATCCTGATGTTCTGATTGGATGAAAGGATTCCTCCCAGAGCCAGGAGGTGCTGTTCACTAACACACTCAGTCGGCGCTTTCTGAATCCGCTTCTGCATGGCCCGATAGCGGCAATACTGGGGGTAGCTCAGCACCTTGACTCGTAGACGCTCGTCTTTAACCCCTGAAAACACAAAAGGTTTTGTTTAGTAATATCAAGAGGCCAGTCACTCTCAGGACTGCATCGCTTGCACGCACACATACACCACACACACACAAGACCCTGGGGTCAGTTGCCCTAGTTAGGGTTAGGTCTATGCTGCAAATACCTGCGCCGACCTTATATAATAATAATAATACTTGCATTTGATATAGCGCTTTTCACGTCGGGAGGATGTCCCAAAGCGCTTCACAGAACACACTGTAAAGTGAATTGACTGTATATTTGTGGGCGAACGCGGCAGCCAATTGCGCACAGCAATGTCCCACAAACAGTCGTAGATTGAAAAATAAAAATTTATTATTGTTTTTGGTTTTGGAGGGATTATTATTAGGCTCTGTGTGGAGTAAGGAAACTTGCCCAAGGGTTCGCCCTCTGCCTGGAATTGAACTCAGGTCTCTCGCTTGCAAAGCGAGTGCTCTAACCACTGAGCTACAGGACATATAAATGTAAATTTGTATTGTCTTATATTGCACCACTGTATAAAGTATAGACAGGACCAGGGTCGATTCCCTTGATAAGTGAATATCAGGGAGAGGAGTCAATGGAAATGCATTCCAACAGTCAGTGCTTTCAAGAGTGGGGAAAGTTGACAACCCATTGGGGACGTGCTTCAAGAACTAATGAGATCTGTCAGGATCAAGGTAAAGTTTCCTCCCCTGATGCACTCTGTTCTGTATTTCTACAGCTGCCTCTCGCTGCTCTTCTCAATTCTGGATCACTGTGTTCTGTGCAGGGATGACTCTGATGCAGATGTGCTTTTGTGTGGTGGGACTGATCATGCCAGTTCTCTGTTCACTTGCAGGCCAAAATACTCCACTTGCTTGCCAAGCCTCCACACCCTTGCTCCTCCCTACCTCTGTGATCTATTAACCCCATACCGGCGTGTCCACTCCCTCCATTCGGCAGACTCCGGGCTGCTCCATGTCCTCTGCCCTGCCCACTACACTATCGGCGGTCCGGACTTCAGCCTTTCTGCCCCACCCTTCGGAACTCCTTCCCACAGTCCCTTCGCCTCACCTCCTCCCCTGCCTCCTTCAAGGCCCGTCTCAACACCCTACTCTTTGGTCACCCTTCTACCTGCTCCACTCCTCCTGATTCCAGACCCAGCTCGGGTTCAAATCCTTGAATGTCCAGGACCTTAGGACATCCTCTCATCGTGAAAGGCGCTATACAAATGTAATTTGTTGTTATTGTCCTCTCCTCATGCAGCAACAAGGCTTGCGAACTAGCACCTATCACCCATTGAGAGGCTCCAAACACCAACTCAGTCATCCGAATTCATGTGAACTAGACTTGTGGAGTCCTGTAGCTCAGTGGTTAGAGCACTCGCTTTGCAAGTGAGAGACCTGAGTTCAATTCCAGGCAGAGGGCGAAACCTTGGGCAAGTTTCCTTACTCCACACAGAGCCTAATAATAATCCCTCCAAAACCAAAAACAATAATTAAATTGGTCATTTTCAATCTACGACTGTTTGTGGGACATTGCTGTGCGCAATTGGCTGCTGCATTTCGCCCACAAATATACAGTCAATTCACTTTACAGTGTGTTCTGTGAAGCGCTTTGGGACGTCCTCCCGACGTGAAAAGCGCTATATCAAATGCAAGGATTATTATTATTATTATTATTGCTAGCTAGGCAATGGGGATTTTAACCAAATGCTAAGCAAATGAAAACTGCTGCAAGGAGGTAGAAGGAAGTAAAATTGTTCAATGCAAAGCATGCAAATATAATAAAATGTTGAAATAAGGATAAGGGATAAGCTTTAAATGATAAAGAATTGCTGGGAATGAAGTATTGGGATTAACGATATACATAGCTAAGAAAAATATTGATATTGCTGATATCAGAAAAAGGTGAACCAAATAGTGAGCCAGGACGGTACAATAAGTTGCAACAACAGAGGGTAGGTAGGGATACCTTACAAATCAAGCTATTGAACTAGTTGCTGGAGTGCCATTGTTAGTGAATGATGCTGACACAGCAGCAGAGTATTGACAGATGTTAACAGGGGCACAGCCTTATAGCTGGCAATGATTACTCTGCCAGATCAAAGTGAACAGGTAGATAGCATCTTGGCAATTGAGAGGCAGCGGGGAAGTATAATAGCAGGGATGGCAATATTCTAGCCATCACGGAGAACGAGAAGCAAGGGACTAAAGTACAAGCAATTCCAAAGAGGTAATAAGTGACTGTTTAACACATGTCCAGGAAGCCACTAGTAACAATGCTTAATATAGGCTTAATATTTTGGAACCTGCCAGAACAGATTAGTAACAGAACAATGAGCAAACATTTGGGTTCTTATGATCATAGTGGCGCTGGATTTAAAACTGTGATAAAAGGTAAGAACAAAACTAATAAAGAAATGGAAGAGTTTAGCAGAGCAAACTTTGGGAAGAGCAAAAAGACAGAGAAGAATAAACAGATGATAAGACCAAATGAAACATACTGAAGCTTCCTTTAATACAGCCTTAAGCCAGGCTGGCAAGATCGCTGTTTTCATCTAATAGAATGTTAGCTGGGCTTTACCAATTTTCTATAGAAGAGATATGAGGTGAGAGGAAAAGAATATCAGAACTGTTAATTACAGAGATAAATCAAATTAGACTCATTTGAGGCAGAAATGCTATTTTGGATGGCAATTTCAAATGGGATTTCTTCGAAAAGAAAGAAGTCAATAATAATAATCCTTGCACATCCTTATCACATCTATGAGACATCTCAAAGCGCTTCACAGAATACACTGTAAAGTGAATTGACTGTATGTTTTGGGACGAAACGCGGCAACCAATAGCGCACAGCAGTGTCCCACAAACAATCATGGATTGAGTGACCAAATTATTGTTACTAATTACTTTTTTTGAGGGATTATTACCCCTGGAAAAGCAACCTGCCAATCAACTAACATCTGGGTTCCTACTTACTGCTAGATAAACAGCCGTTTAGCCCTGCCCGGGAATCGAACCCAAGTCCTCCACACACGATGATTTGATCCACTTTCAGGGTGGAGTTCTTGTGAGTCAAAGTGACGCACACCTGGTTACTGGAAGAAATCTCCACTCACGTTCCTTATTAAGGAATCCCATTAGAAATCACTAGACATTAGATCCTGTGATTAATAGATTCATAGAATGTTACGGCACAGAAGGAGGCCATTCGGCCCATCGAGTCTGTGCCGGCTCTTTGACAGAGCATCACTTTCACTAACCCCAATCACCAGCTTTCTCCCCATAACCCTGCAAACCCGTCTTCCCCAGATACCTATCCAGTTCTCTCTTAAAAGCTGTTATCGAATCGGACTTCACTACCCTTTCAGGCAGATCATTCAAAATTCGAACAACTCACTGAGTGAAAACATTTCTTCTAACCTCCCCTCTGCTTCTTTTGGTAGATATCTGAAGACTGTGACCACGGGTCAGAGACACACCTACCAGCGGAAACAGCTTTTCCCTATCTCGCCTGTCGAAACCTTTCATAATCCTGAAGGCCTCTATCAGGTCCCCGCGTAACCTTCTCTGCTCTAATGGGAAAAGTCCTAACTTCTCCAGCCTGTCCTCATCGCTAAGGTTCCCCATTCCTGGTATCATTCTCGTGAATCTCCTCTGCACCCTTTCCAGTGCCTTAATGTCCTTCCTGAAGTAAAGTGCCCAGAACTGGACGCAGTACTCCAGCTGAGGCCTAATCAGTGTTTTGTATAGATTAACCATAACCTCTCTACTCTTATACTCTATGCCCCTACTGATCAAGCTCAGTACACCAAATGCCTTTTCTACTCCTTATCTACCTGCCCCGCTACCTTTAATGATTCGCTTACTTGAACACCCAGATCTCTCTATACGTTCGCCCCCCCCTTGAGATTGAGCTACCAAGTCTATATTACCTCCTATCATTTTTACCTAAGTGTATCACCTCACACTTATCCACATTGAAATCCATCTGCCACATGTCAGCCCATTCCACCATTCTGTGTATGTCTGCTTGCAGTTGGTTACAGTCCTCCTCACTATTTACTACCCTACCTAACTTTGTATCATCTGCAAACTTGGAAATAGTGCTCTCTATGCCCAAGTCCAGATCATTAATATATATTAGAAAGAGCAGTGGTCCCAATACCGATCCCTGGGGGACACCGCTGCAGACCTCCTTCCATTTCAAGAAACATCCATTAACCACCACCCTCTGCTTTCAATCACTCAGCCAATTCCTAATCCAAACTGCCACTGTCCCCTTAATACCAACAGAACATAAAGCTCACTAACCCTGGCAGCTGAAGTATGTATGAATAATAAAAACTTTCTCAGCTACAAATTTGTTTTCTAGTGCCTTTCCCCTCTGGGTATCCACTTTGCACCAATAGTTCAGCCCAAGAACTAATGTGCTAAATGTAAGCAAACAGTAACTGTAAATAGGCCAATCTTGCTGGAATGTTACACCATAGGCTACACTCGGGATCCCAATCAGTGGTCAGACTAATTTCATTGCGCATTGCAGGTTAGCACAGCTGGTGTAGAAACTTTTAGTGAAACCAAAGTGCCTAATTACAGTGCTGTAATAATGTGCTTTGCTGCATCCCTGGTTCAACAAAAACAACAACTTGCATTTATATTGCACCCTTCATGCAATGCAGTGTCTCGGAGCACTCGTTCGACTACAATACAAAGCAAATGTGGACCTGTTCGCTGATTGCTCAATTACCACTTGCTGGCCAGCTCTTGTGCTAAACAATGAACGACCTCCAGGCAGGTCTTCAGATCGCGGCCGACATCACTTCCTGCACACAGCATATGCACAATTATCAGCAAATGACATCAGCAGAGACATGATCACCCAGAAGTCAGTTATTTGGGCTTCAGAAAGCGATGGTGGGGGCACTCTGGTGACCTGGAAGTTGTCCATTTTTCTGGGAGATGCTGGCAAACAGGAAGCAAGCCAGTTCATTGGGCCCATTCACAGTGAAACTGGCTATCGTATCCCTGTTAAAAGGCAGGTTGGAGTTTCATGGACTCTCAACGATTGCCTTAGAACAAGGCTCCACTGTAATTTCTCCATAGGAAGGCAAACAGGTCTAAAATCTCACTAACCACTTCCCACATTTTTTAAAAAAGAATCTTCCTTCCCAAATAAAGCTTGAGGTTAGGAATTTTCTACAATTATGTGCAATCTTGAAGTTTAAGTCGAAACAATCTTTACAGCCTAACTTGTAAGCTGACTTTCACGCCTCAGATCTTCACAGAGGACAAACAGTATAGCTGAATAATACATTGTTCCACCATCCAGTTGTTCATCTTCCACCATCCTGGCAGTCACCTGCACATGTAATGTCCCAAACTATATACTGCATCCACAGATTTTATTTCCTATTCCGATGATCCCTCACCTGGATTTTTACACTCATGTTGTGGTTCCTTTGTGTTGCGGTTGCAGCGAGACGCCGGCCTGCATATGTGCTCAGGACCCCCCCCCCATCTGCTGTTCATGTCTCTAGTGTTGTCTTTTACTGTGTCTACGTTGGCAGCCCAATGCGCTGGCTCAGCGCACAACCATTTCGCCAAGTCCTGTAACCGGATAATTATCTTCTTTGAGACCGCAATGACCTCATCCTGTCGAGAGAGAGAGAAAGAGAAATAAAAAGGTGTATTCAACCTTCAATATACTGCTGAAATTCACCCATGAAATATACAGTCAATTCACTTTACAGTATGTTCTGTGAAGTGTTTTGAGCCGTCTCAAAGACGTGATAAGGCTCAATATCAATTGCAAGGATAATTTTTCTAAAGTTGGGTCAATGTGGAAAGAGGGTATTAAATGAGTTGCAATGTTTTATTACAGACTCTCTGTTACTGCAATCATAACAATCGTTGCAGTTGATATAGTCTCTATAACACTGAAATATCTCAAAGCTAATTGCTGTCAAATGCAGTGACTATGTATTTCCAGGCAATTGCAGTCACTCACGAACAGCCATGAAGCAAAAGACAAATTTATCTGGAAGATGGCTGGCAAGGATACCGGAAAAAATTCCCATCTCTTTTGATGGGATCTTTAATATCTGACTGAACAGGCAAATGAAAACTCGGTTTTATGTCTTATTCAAAGTACGGTGTTCTGACAATGTAGTGCTCCCCAGCACTGCTCTTTTGTCTGTGAGCTTAAGTCCTGACATGAGGCTCAAACGCGTTCTGACATGAGGCTCAAAGGTGTGGCTGCACCTTTTACCGTGAATTCTCTATAAACACCCTCCACCTCTACAAACCCGCTATGAATAAAGTTTCTGGCCCGCGGGCCTGTTTACCTGACCTCACTGTGGGCGAAGCGGCTCCAGACGCGCATGCGCAATGTGGCACAAGCAGCAAGTGTGCTTCACTCGGATAATAATAATAATAATAATCCCTGCATTTGATATAGCGCTTTTCACGTCAGGAGGACGTGTCAACGCGCTTCACAGAATAGACTGTAAAGTGAATCGACTATATTCGACTATATATAGTGGAGTCCTGTAGCTCAGTGGTTAGAGCACTCGGTTTGCAAGTGAGAGACCTGAGTTCAATTCCAGGCAGAGGGCGAAACCTTGGGCAAGTTTCCTTACTCCACACAGAGCCTAATAATAATCCCTCCAAAACCAAAAACAATAATAAATTGGTCATTTTCAATCTACGACTGTTGTGGGACATTGCTGTGCGCAATTGGCTGCTGCGTTCGCCCACAAATATACAGTCAATTCACTTTACAGTGTGTTCTGTGAAGCGCTTTGGGACGTCCTCCCAACGTGAAAAGCGCTATATCAAATGCAAGGATTATTATTATTATTATATATATATATTTGCGTGCAAAATGCGGCAGCCAATGAGATAGTAAGTAGATACCGACCTCAAAGAAGTGCACGTTAATAAATTTATTTGCTGTGTGAATGAAAATAATTTTAATTACCAGCGGAAAATAACTCTGGTTGACATTGCAAAACGACATTCAAGAACTTATGCAGGGAGATTCACAGCAGTTAATTATTTTCAGTTTGGAATAAAATTCCATTGAAGCAAACGTGCAATCCAGATCTTTCAAACGCAGAAAAGCACATCTATTGGAGGTGTTCAGTAGGACGGCCAAGCCCAAAATCAGGTCCCTGCTGCCTGCCAGCGCCCAGCTCTCTGCACACTGCACATCCAGGCCTTTCCGCGGAGTGAAATGGATAACAAGACAATAGGAATAACTCTTACATTTGGTACAGCTCCTTTTCCATCAGGAAGGCATCTCAAAGCATTTCACAGGATATGCTGTAAAGTGTAGTGACTGTGTATTTTGTAGACAAACGCACACAGCAATGTCCCACAAACAGACATGAATGAATGACTTATTCTATTTGAGAGACTGTTGGCCAGGACACCAGGAGAAACTCTTTTCTCTTTTCAAATAGCGCCATGGAATCTTTAGCTTCCACCTATAAAGGCAGCTGGAACCTTAGCTTAACTTTGCGTCCGAAGGATGGCACCTCTGACAATGCAGCATGCAGTTTGCCTCAGCCTAGACTATAAGTTCAAAGTTCCGACGTGAGACTTTAACCCACAACCTTCTGACTCAAGAGTCGAGAGTACTAACAACTGAACCAGGCTGACACACAACGCTCATTTAATAGATTAAGAATTCCAAGTAAAGTATTTCCACATAGGAAAATAAACTTACCTAAAAAACATTAATTGAAAGAGAATCCATTTTAGCTTTTAAAAGGGAATTAGACAAATATTTGAAAAGGAAAATGTGACTAAACAATAGCTCTTTCCGAAGGCCGGCAAAGGCTGAATGGGCCAAATGGGCCTTTGTGCTATAAAAGGCTCTGATTCTGTAAAGTCTCTACGGAAATTGGGGAAACGGGTCACTAGCTCGCTCCACCCACAGGCAAAAAAATCACTCAATCCAAGACTGTTTGTGGGACACTGCTGTGCGTAATTGGCTGCCAAGTTTCACCAACAAGAAATTTACAATATATTCTGTGAAGCACTTTGAGACGTCTCAGCGACGTGATAAGGCACTATATCAAATGCAAGGATTATTTTATTATTATAACAACAGAGGCCAAGCTAACTGAGGAGTGAAAAGGTGTCATGAAATCTCGGAGTACTAGGCTGTAGTGTGTGTGTGTATGAATGAGCACATGTGCAAGTTATAGAGTGTATGCGGCGTATGCATAGTGGAGCTCTTGTCTCTCTCCAACCCCCGCGTTATTTTATCAGCACCACCTGAAATCACACTGAAGGCAAAGCCGGCCGCAACATAAAGCACCAGCTCCAATCATATAGAAGTTTCACAGGAAACATACAAACAGCACAATTAAGAGCTGAGTTTAAATGTCAATAAGTTGGGGTTAGTCGCAACTTCACAAATGTACATTTCGTCAGGAAAGTGAGCAGAAATCGACAGCGTCAGAGTCTAAGCCTGTGAGACCAGTTTGTCTTCAAATTTAAGATCGCACAGAACTTGGAAAACTCATAAATTCTGTTTTAATGTGGAAGTTGCTGCATTGTAAGATTTGCAGTGGATATAAACTGCATATCAGGTACATCAGTTAACACAGCCTTTTAGACAGTCAATGTGTCGACTGTTAAACCAGAATAAGCAGAATGATACAGCAGGCCTGAGGTCTGAAATTACATCGTCATAACATAGGAACAGGAGGAGGCCATTCAGCTCCCTCGAGCCTGTTCTGCCATTCTAGTAGATCAAGGCTGATCTGTACCTCAAGTTTTTAATCTTCAATGATGTAGAACCGTTTAGCCTCCCTCCACTCTATGGTATCAGTACCTCTCCCCAAGCCAGTTTCCCCAATCTGGAAATGTGCACTCACTATTCCATGTAAAAACAATTCACTGCAAACAGGAAAAACAAATAAAAGATCCTTCAGGTAATGAACAGTTTTGAAAGAAAGAGACAGTGAAAGACTCCCTCTTGTAAATCTGCAAAGCTTCCAAAACCTATACATATCAGACTCCACTCTGGTCTTCCTTGTTATTGCCTTTACAAACTTCAATTCCACAAGACACTTCTCATTCAAATCTCTGCGTTAGAACTAGTCCCATTAATTTGCAAGTAACTCTATACAGAGCAAGCAAGTTGCATTATTCAGCGAAGTCTCTCCACACAAGTGGGCTTTTAGAAACGGTTCCCACTGGGCAGTTCCTATCAGATCACTGGATTACAGCTATTGTTAAAAGTTCTCGTTGCCCTGGGAACACCTCGCTCTTAGCATTAAAACTGGGGCAAAATATGCAACCGCAATACTATGCACGAGATAAATCCAGCTGTATGTAGGATTTATTACATTCCATACAGTGTATAATGCCCCCACTGCGTGATTTAGTACAATCCATATAAAACTCTCTCTCCCCCACACACCCACCCCACTCCCCCACCCCATACCTGTATAAAAATTTAGTCGCTCAATTCACGGCTTTTTGTGGGACGCAGCTGTGCACAATTGGCTGCCGCGTTTTGCCCACAAAATATACAGTCAATCCACTTTACAGTACATTTTGTGAAGCGCTTTGAGACATCTCAAAGACGTGATAAGGTGGTACATCAAATACAAGGATTATTATTATGATGATGAATATACAGTAAATCCACTTCACAGTAAATTCTGCTAAGCGTTTTGGGATGTCTCAAAGCACTTCACAGGATCTACTGTGAAGTGGTGTGACTGTAAGTATTTTGTGAACATTTTGAGAATGAGATGAAGCAGACAGACTTTAGTGGTCTTTTCTGATCTTGCATATTCCTGTGCTCCATTGTTCCTACAATGGGGATGGGCGGCTGAATGCTCTCAAAGTTCTGTACATAGCTTCCTCAGTAAAATCAAGCACTCGGCTGTTCAGCTTGCCCAAAGTAGCACCAATATTACTTGACTATTACTGTAATGTTGCAGGAGGAAAGATCAGTGGCCAAGCAGAATGTGCAAGTTTGCAACAAAATCCTTCTCTTCGCAGGGCTGAAGGAATGTGGTCAGCAAGAATGATTGCAACTTGTATTTCTTTTTGATAAATGTCTCCAGATTGGTCTCTCTCGGAGATCTTGCTGAGCAAACAGCTCTGCAGTGCAGAATTCTTGCAGGATGCCTCAACACGGAGCAGGCAGGACCTGTATTCTTCACAACACCCAGAACCGCTTGTTAACGGGCCCTTCCTTCCCCTCAATCACACTGTTAAATAATAATAATCCATCATCCTTACATGCCTTTCACATCAGGATGATGTCTCAAAGCGCTTCACGGGATATACTGTAAAGTGGAGTGACTTGTATACTTTGTAGGTAAATATGGCAGTCAATTTAAATGTAGCAATGTCCCACTGACAGCTGTGAAGTGAATGATCGATTTTATTTGGTTGGAGAAAGAAACTCCCTTCTCTATCCAAATGGTGTCATAAGATTTTGCATGTCTATCTGAACAGGCAGACTTTGGTTTGATATCTCATCTGAAGGACAACATCTCCAACAATGCAGCATACACCCTCCATGCAATGGAGTATCAGCCTTGACTATGAGCTCCAAGTGCGGTTTGGGGCTGAGGCTTGAACCTACAACTTTCTGACACAGAGACAAGATTGCCATCAAG